TGACATTTTATTCTTTTCTAAAATATTAATGTCTATCCAGGGAAGGCTATAGCTTCACCCTACAAATTTTAATATTTTGTATGTTCATTCGAATTCAGCTCAAGTTATTTTCCATTTATCCTTGAGGATTCCTTGTTGATCAATGAATTTCTTAGCATGTACTGCTTAATTTCCAAGTATTTAATGTTTTTTTCTGGATATGTTTCTTTTGTTGGATCTACTTGATTCCATTAAGATCAGAGAACACACTTCCATTTTAAATTTTAAAATGTTCAAATGTGACCAGAATATTGTCTGTTTTGGTGAATTTTCCTTGCAAACTTGAAAACAAACTTGTCTATTGTTGATTGGGCAGGAAATTCCATAGGTGCTACTGTGTAAAGTCGATTGGTAGAGCTGTTTGGGCCTCTATGTCCTCACTAACATTTTTTATCTGCTTGGGCTATCAGTTACTAGGTGGGGAGACTGGAAATCTCCAGTTATAACATAAATTTGTCTCTTCCTCTTTTGGGCTCCATCAGCTTTTGTTTGATCTGTGTTGATGCTCTCTTATCAGGTGCATACATGTTTAAGGTTCTATATCTTCTTTTTAATATTTTTATTTATTTGATTTGATTTTATGTGATTTGCCTGCATGTATGTTAAGTGCACCCATGTTGTGCAATGCCCACAGAGGTCAGAAGAGGGCATTGGATCCCCCAGAACTGGAGCTACAGATGGTTGTTAGCTGCCATGTGAGTGCTGGGACCTGAACCCGGGTCCTCTTGCTCTTAACCGCTGAGCCATCTGGCAGCCCTTGTTTGTTTGTTTGTTTGTTTGTTTGCTTTGCTTTTAGTTTAGCCTAGGCTGGCCTTGAACTTGCTCTGTGGCAGTAGCTATCCTTGACCTCCTCATCATCCTGCCTCAGCCTCCCAACTGATGAAATTTACATGTGTGCACCACCACACCTGGCCTAGTTTTTTATCTCTTTGATGACTTAACTGTAACTATTAAGTAATATTTGTTATCTCTGATAATCTATTTGCTCTGAAGTCTATCTCAGCTGATAGTAATACAACTGTTGGATTTCTTTTGATTAGCCTTTATGTGGAAGGGAGAATTTTCCTGTCTGTTTGATTTTAGCTTACTATATTAATATCATTCTGCTTGAAGTGAGTTCTGTAACAGTCTATAATTGGGTCTTCTGTTATTGTTGTCATTTTATCCAGTCTATAAGTCTCCATCTTTTAATTATTGTCATTAGATTCTTTATGTTTACTGTAAGTATTGACAGAGTTGAATCTAGACATGCCATTTACCATTAAGTTCTATCTACTTTTTAAAAAAGATTTACTTTTATTATATTTAATTATGTGCACAGCCCTTGTCATGTGTGTGTGTGTGTGTGTGTATGTGTGTGTGTGTGCATATGAGTGCAAGTGACCACAGAGGCCAAAAACATCAGATCCCCTTGGATCTGGAGTTACAGGTGGTTGTGTGCTGCCCAACATAAGTGCTGGGAATCAAACTTGGGTACTCTGCAACATTAAATTCTCTTATCTGCTGAGCCGTCTCTCTAGTTCCTGCCTGCATTTACCTCATGATTGGCAGAAACAGAGGAAGGGGAAGGGTCCTCTAAATCTGCTTGAGGGCAGGACCCCAGTGACCCAGTGCCTTCTTTTAGGCCTGATCTTTTAGAGGCTCTACCATCTTCTAATAGTGGCATAGGCTAGAGTTCAAGTCTTCAACATATGAACCACTGAGGTCTTTTCAGATTTAAACTCAGATCCAAACTCTCATGTGGCAGACTTAACATTCCTTCATGTGATTATACCTTGAAATGGATTTTAACTTCCATTAAGATCAGGATGGGATCTTTGTTTCCCTCGGTGTAATGTACACTCCATTTAAGGAAAGGAGTTAGTTGAGTAATTGAGGGCATAATACCCTCAGCTTATCTGTGTTTAAATTCTGACTCTACCTTTCCTAGCTTGGTGACTATGGACAAGCTACTTAAATAACATGCTTCATTTTCTTCACTTATAAAAGCAGGCTAGTGTTCAGCATGGAAGAAGCCAGAGCAGCCTAAGTCCCGATTTCCTATTGGCAATTTGGGTAACCTCTCCAGAGGATGGTGTGATAAGAATAGGCGTTAGGAATTCACTAGGCAGTTAGGGTGAAAAGGTGCCAAAGAAAAGTAGCCAGTTTCTTGGCTAAAACTCGCAATGTCCTTGGGCCTCTTAGCAACGTATTCCATTCCAAAAGTAAAAAATACCGAAAATATTTGGGAGTTTTTATCTAATCCTTAAAAGATTTTAGGGTTACCTCTTCAGAAGGGGGAATGTTAGAGTAGTCAAAAGCCCCATTTAAAAAAAAAAATCAAAGAAGAAGAAAGAGTAGATGAAGTTATCAGAAAAAAAGTGATGGGGAGATATGGGAGGAGTTAGAAGGGAGGGAGTGGGAATGGATTTGATCAAAACACCTTATATGCATGTATGAAATTCTCAATTAGTTACTTATTTAAAAAACAAAAAAAGTAAAAAAAAAATAATAAAAGCAGGCAAGCAACACTATTTGTAAAGATTAGAAAAGAGTTAAGGGGCTGGAGAGATGACTTAGAGGTTAAGAGCACTAGCTGCTTTTGCAGAGGACCTGGGTTCGGTTCCTGGTTCCCAGCACCCGCATAGCAACTAGCAATCATCTGTAACTCCAGTTCCAGGGAATCCAACATCCTCTTCTGACTTCCATGAGCATTGCATGATATGAGTGTACTTATACACATGTAGGCAATACACTTATATTAAAAAAATAAAAATAATAAAGTTTAAAAAAGAAAAGAGCTAATTTAAATGCTCAGCATGTAAATCCTGGCACATAATACTATTAACTATTTTTCTTTTAACAATTAATTTTTCTCATAAAGCTATAAAATAAAAATGCCTTTAATCAAGACAGAATATAGAGGGACTGACTAAAGGCAAGAAAACAAAGCAAAGTTGACCAGTTTCTGGGTGCAAAAGACTCAGTAAGTATGCATGTGCGCACATGTGGGAGCATATGTGCACATATGCATGTGGAGGCCAGAGATTGATGTGGATGTCTTCCTTGATTGCTCTCCATCTTGCCTATCAAGGCAAGGTCTCTCACTTGAACCGAGCTTGTGGATTCATCCAGTCTAGCTAGACAGTTTGCCCCCAGGGTTCCCTGTTTCTGCCTTCAGAAAGCTGGGATTACACAACCCCTGCCCAGCATTTACATGCATGCTGGGGATCAGAACTCAGGTCTTCCTGTTTGCATGATAAGCACTTTACCCATTGAGCCATCTCCCCAGTTCTGCAACTACTTTAACAGAAACAAAAAGTGGGAATGTATATTGGGAGAAACATTTAGAAAGCCATAATGCAGTGTTTAGTAAAAACATTCTCACATTCTGTGATTCAGCAAAAACATCCCCCCTCCTAAATTCATATCCAAGGGAAAAGTGTCTAGGGATCTAACTGAAGGATATTTGATAGAATATTTATGCAAGTCTCCGTGGATTCATCAACTGGGAATGATGCAAATATTGTTCAACAAAAGAATGGGCAAATAAGTTGTAGGGGTTAAACAGATGACCTAGAACTTCTTACAGCTGAATGCATGCATCTCACCAATGCTGTGATGAGTGAAAGAAGCCAGGACCACTAACCCCAAACTACTAACCCTAACTGTCACCCAAGTACCTTGAACTGTTTCAAGTCTGGGGTGGGGGGAGCAGTGGAGAGTGAGAGGCGGGGCTAACATTTTATTTGTTCATCTGATGCTCATAATAGATTGTGAAAATGCATTGGACTGTATACCTATGAGTGTTTTTCCTATAAGTGTATCAGAGTTCACTAAAAAACAAGAAAGGAATGTCAGATGTGGTAGCACACACCTGTAATCTCAGCACTTGGGAGGTCGAGGCAGGAGGACAGGAGGTTGAAGGCCAATCTCAGATACAGAGTGAGTTCAAGGCCAGTCAGGGCTTCCTGAGCTACTGTGGGGAGGGAGAGAGGGAGAGGGTGGGAGAGAGAGACAGAGAAAGGACGGAAGGAAAGAGGGAGAAGGGAGGGAGGGAAGGAGGGATAGAGAGACAGAGAGGCAAAGAGAGATAGAGACAGAGTGGGATGGAGACAGAGAAAAGAGGGAGAGAGGGAGGGAGGGAGGGAGAGAGGGATAGAGAGACAGAGAGACAAAGAGAGATAGAGACAGAGTGGGATGGAGACAGAGAAAAGAGGGAGAAAGGGAGGGAGGGAGGGATAGAGAGACAGAGAGACAAAGAGAGATAGAGACAGAGTGGGATGGAGACAGAGAAAAGAGGGAGAGAGGGAGGGAGGGAGGGAGGGAGGGAGGGAGACAGAGTCAGAGAGAGACAAGAAGAGGGAGAGGAGGGAGGGAGGCAAAGAAGGAGGGAGGGGAGGAGAGAGAAGGAGAGAGGGAACTAGGGAGGGAAGGAGGAGAGGAGAGGGAGATGAAGGACTGAGGGAGGGAAGAATAAGAATAAAACAGAAAGGAAAAGAAAATGAAGAACGGGGTGGGGGGGACCCAAACCTCATAAAGTTGAAAGCCACAGTTCCTTTACTCAGGTTTACCCCACCTGTTGGCTCAGAGCAAGCTCCTGCCCCGCCCCTTCCCTGTTTGCTTGGCACAAAGACCCCACTCGCTCTGCGCTCAGGTCCTTTGCTTAACACAGCTCCATGCCCTGGGCATCCCTACTGAGCTTTCCAAGTGGGTAACCTTGGTAGTCGTGTAACATGGACCAGCTGAGCTACTT